CCCCCTCCAAATCTAATGAAAAATGTTGACAAGGATTCTTCAGAAGATAAATCGATCTGCGACACGAGTCACGAGTTTGCGGCGCTATAGGCCTTCTGCTGCCGGAACAACCGGAAGTGCGTTGCAGAGGGAAACCTGCAGTTTCGGGCCTAAGGTTGCATCGGCAGATGGTTGGATGGAAGGAAAAACCGAAAAAAAAGAGAAGAAAATGACTTCGGGAATCCGGATAGACTTAAATGCCTTCGATTCTACGAATTGCAGTGACATCAGAACAATTCGAATCCTTCCTATAATCCTCAGAATTCAAGACAATTAAGATCTTAAAGATTTTCCCGTTGGACCGTTTGAAAGTTCACCTCATCCAGAAGGCTCTCCATTGACCCGTCATTGCACTTGGCTTCAAAGGATTATGTGACTGACGCGAGCAACGTTTATTGTTACGCCGTCATCAGTGACTCCGCCGTGACTGTACTTCCCTTAAAGTTCGTCTTTACTAATGAAAACGTCGCTACGATGCTGGAGCGCAGTGACTACCAATGGCTCGCAATTTGTTTAGCTTGTGTTTCTCCAAGAAAAAGAATGTCCTGAAGAGGCGCAACAAGCGGAGACGCAGCCACAGCAGCATCCTCGATTGGCCAGAGTTCTCTCTCTCTCTCTCTCTCTCTCTCTGCCATTCGTCTCGTTACTCATCCTTCAGTCGAGAATTACCGGTTCGCGCCCGAATTTGAGAATTCCAAGTTTAGAATCTACTATAGAGTATTGACGCTCTTAGACATTTTGAAAACGTCCAGTTTGAACAGTGACGTGTTCACAGAGAACATGTTGCGAGGCTACTGAATTCTATTACGGGGTTCTGACAGCAGAGAAAACGTGACTATTATTTCCCAACTCGAGAAAAAGGTTTTCCCTTCCGTTTGACACTTGACCCTTTTAGAAGTTTGACTAGCGCCGCTTCCGGAGCAAATGCTCGATATATCGCTTTGCCTGAGGTATCTGATGCTGTCAGTATAATTTATGAGTTCGTTTGATCTGAAATTCTTCGTTTCAGCGCCTTTGTAGTATCTTGCTGATCGCGTAGAATCGTTTCTTAAACTCAACAAAGCATACGAGTATAATAATTTTTCAAATGAACGAGGGAGCTAAGTTTTGCTTTATGAATGCGATTTTTATTTGATACGTCTAGGCGCCTCTACATATAGAGCCTAAGCGAAGATACAAAAATGATAACATTAACGATAAGTACTATAAAATATAGTAATGAGATTAACTTATTCCTTATATTAAAAGCAATAATGGTAATATCACATTGCGTCTATGCCACTCGTGACGTAGTAGGATGATAAGTGCAGCGAGTGTCCGATACGCATGTAGAACTGTTGAGCGTGACGTGAAAATCCCCAGGGTCCAGAATTCTTTGAAATCGTGGGTAACCGATCCTTCAAAGTTTCATCGACGTGGAAACAAGAATTCCGTCCTAATCGGCCGAGAGTCAAACCGCACTTAAAATCCAGTGCAGAAAGCAGCTTTCGTTGTTCCTTTTCCCCCATTTGTCATTACAGTTACTGATGCTTCGCCGCGTGAAATAGATTAAGTTAAAAGACGAAGAGTCTCTAAGCATCCTTTCAAGTTACGCCAGGACGTCGCACACCGTATATGCAGGCATATTATATACACGCGGACTGATGAGGCGATCAGGCGCAATTTACGTGACACGTATGCAGACGGAATTAATTTTTGTACCTGAGTACAAAGTGGTATTTCAATATTCGATTGATTTTCGCAGTGCGTTCGTTACGGCCAAATTCCAATAGATGCCAGAGAGGCGTTACCATCGCAACGATCTCACGTTCCCCGGCATTAATTCTCATGGGACAGTGAGTGCTTTCTCCTCTCTCTCTCTCGCTCTCTCTCTCTCTCTCTCGCTCTCTCTCTCTCTCTCTCTCTCTCTCTCTCTCTCTCTCTCTCTCTCTCTCTCTCTCTCTCTCTCCCCAAAGTGACTTTGCCTTCAACACTTGTCGATTTTCGGGCACATTGTTACTTATACCTGATGGCAGTAAAAGAACGTGAGGCAAATTCGATTGGCTAGTAACTTAACTTGACTTACGTAACTTAATTTAATTTAATAATTAATTAATATAATACTCGAATATATGCATATTATTTTTGTTTTCAGCTGATTTCTGGCTTCTTATGTGATCGTTTTTTGGTAAATTATTCACTAAAAAAGATTATATGACTGTGCTATGTAAAACCTGCCTATGGCCATCAGGAAGCTTAGCTCCTGGGTCAAATAAATAATTCTCTCTCTCTCTCTCTCTCTCTCTCTCTCTCTCTCTCTCTCTCTCTCTCTCTCTCTCTCTCTCTCTCTCCCTCCCTCCCTCCCTCCCTCCCTCTCTCTGTCTCTCTTTCTTTCACACACACGCACACATATATCGATCTCGCTCGTGCACGACATGGTCCACGCTATTTTCTCGATCGTTTACGCCTCCTTCTTGTTCACTTATTTACGTCGAAGTTTGATTCGTTTTGCCGAAATTCATTCCCATCCGCGTCAGGACATTTCCGGTGAACTTGGCGTGACAGCAGCAACTTGCCGGAAATCGGAACAGGTCCGGCGAAACGGAACCGTTCGCCATTAATGCCATCAGCTGCCGATAGATGTACTTTTGCTTGCAGCTCGTCTTGTAGCCGTTAGGGACGCTGTCGAAGATCCTGCACTCGCTGTCTTCGTTCCTGAGGGAAAGGAAACATTTAATCTTTTTCCTTCTTAACCTTTCTCCCTTGGCAAACTAATGCTCCTCGCCGAACTTACTGGCACTTTTCAATTCGCACTCCCTGGGTGACGTTCCCGTGATTGACAATGTAGCGCCACTGTTTCTCCCTGTTTTCCGCCGATTTCGGAATAATCACTTGTTCCTGCGGTTTAATGGACATTTTTAGATTTTTTAGATTTTCTACTGGGCTACGCAACAATCTTGAGACGTTGAGATCGGAGCGACATGATATTACCTCCGCTGACGCAATACTTACAGTCGAGACGCAGAGCTGCGTGTCCTCAAGAGGGGAGTCTATCCGCTGTATAATATTGACGACCTGGTAAAATAAAATGGATGAAGCATCTGCGACAGGAAGTAATAAAGTTCGCTATCAAAGAGGTTCCTTTTCATTTGGTGCCTAGTCGATGTCATATAATGCCATATTTCTATGATATACGTATCAACGTGCTCAAATCAAAAGGATCAATCAGTGTTCCATACGGGCCCGAAATAAAAGTAAGAAACTATATATATCGTTCATATGTGAAATATATGCAACACATATATAGATTTGATCATGTACGGATCTTCTTCACAGTTTCATGGATGTCATATAAATATTTGTATACGGCAATAAAAGAACCGGTCTCATAACGACCTCCAAGATTCCTGCTTCCGAGCTGAATCGTCATCGTGTGATTTACGCTAGGTCAAGGAAAACTTAGTTACGTCATCAATGAACGTCCTCTAATCTAATCGCTGTCGTTCTGTCGTCTAGGAATGAAAACTGCAAATTGAATTACGTCAAATCACAATTTCCTTTACGTTGGAACCCAAAGAATGATGAGCTCACCTCATCGACTCCTGTGAAGTATTTAAGATTTTCCTGCTCCCTGATGGCCGTTTGAATATAACCTTCCGGATAATCTGGAGAGTGCTCGCAGTAGGTGTTATCCTTGCAAATGGATGCTGGACCCGGAACGAATCTGTGAGCTTGAGATTCATTCTCCTCGGACGGGAAGACGATCTTCTCGTCGGCCTGCATAGAGTCCATTGCAGTGGGCACTAAAAGTATGGAGAAGGTGAATTTTTACTGGATTTTTTTACTGGATAAATCTTCCAAAGAATATGTTAGGTCGCCACTCACTCCCTGACATCCGCGGATTGTATTCCCTTCTGACATTCGACCGCGTCTTTCCTTGACTCTGGGAAGACGAGTAATTGGAACTGTCCCCCGTCGAACCTAAGGTTAACTTTACGTCGCGGGTGTTTTGGTAGCTGGAGGTATCCCTCTGGAAACCCTTGGATGGATTCTCTCCCACGGATTCCCTCCACTCCTCTAGGCTCAGCAAATCCCTATTTTCTATAGCTCTTTGGACCAGCTCCGTATTCTCATCCGCATCGTAAGTCCTGCCTGACTCACCAATGCGAGCGCTGAGCGTCGCCTGACTTTTCGGCTGGTCTGCCCTATAAGCTGCGTCCTCCGGGAGACGAGTGTCGCTGGTGTACCTGATTGGCACGTAGTCGTCGTCCTCCGAGTCCTTCAGGAACGTCGGCCGTTGGAGAGGAGATCGGTAAGGACTGAACGGCTCGTCATTTTGAAACGGAGATGATCCACCAAATCCGAACCATTTGTACGGGAAGCTTCCGGTGATTTGCACTACCTGCAACAAAAAGATCATACCTTCCGATAGTCTGGTTATAGGACGACAGTAGCGACTGCAGCTTGCAGGTTCCGCCTTTAAATACAGACAATGGTGGACGAGGACGCGTGAAAGCACGAATGGACTCTTAACGAGCGGAGCCAATCAAATCGCAAATGTCAAGGCACTCTCTCCTTTTGTAGAAGCGCTCTCGCTTTTCTTCCTTCTCTTGCCTTTGCAGCCGGGATGATCGGAAATCTACTTTCTGTCCCTCTTACGGATACCCCACTTCCGTCCGATTGATGATGTTCCTACGTCACATATTCTGTAAGAGCAACGAGATCGGACAGTAGATGGACCTTCTACTATCGGGTTTTTGCCGTTTCCAGCCCAGGGGAATAGTGAGCTGCTGAGTTTGAGTAACGGACTGACGCGTCGCTCGGTCGGGCCTCCGCCCGGGCACAAATTTCGATGTGCGGAACCGAATCGATCTGAGAGCCTGTTTTTCTAAAGTCCTCCCGAGAATGTCATTAAACCTTCGGTCGATTTATATTCTCCTCTCGTTAGCCCTCACTTAGCGCGCGAACATCCGATCTGGGAATTCTCGAGCGGAAACCTTATCGGCTCCTATTGGTTCGTGATTGGCATAACCGCAATCGGTTTCTCCATAAGATCGATCCAGCATCCGCTGCTGTACGATTATTTCGGTGACAATTGAGAATGAGGGTACTCTGGTGGTTGTTATTCGCCGGCGAGGAGTGAGCGTCATTGGCAATCAGCCGGTCGACCGGCCGGCCGACGCTGCGAATGCCGGCCGGAACGGCAATGAGAAATGGCGACGGGCGGATCGCGCAATGCATACGCAGACGAGCGCGCGCGCAATCGCACATGGACGCGGAGTCTCCCAGGGAATTCCAGCGGAGTCTCGGATAAACATTCGAACACACGTGCACGTTCGCCGAGCGAAAGAAGTTCTCCGATGTAGCGGGTTTTGTGTCTTACATAATTTCTTACATGTCTCGGGGGACTCAGTCATTCCGATGGGCAAAGGTCAGGATCTTGAGTTCAGGCTGCTGATTCGGCGCTCTTAGGGCCTAATCGGTGGGTCCCTCGCGTACAGTATTCCTGGCGACATTACTCACCTCCTAATTATTTTTAGCGACAAATAAAAAGAGTCGTCATATCGAACACCAGGCACGATCTCCTCTCTCTCTCTCTCTCTCTCTCTCTCTCCCGCAGCTCAATTTACATTGGCAATGCTTTTTCTCAAAGATGATCGAACACCAGGCACGATCTCCTGGGTCCCTCGCGTACAGTATTCCTGGCGACATTACTCACCTCCTAATTATTTTTAGCGACAAATAAAAAGAGTCGTCATATCGAACACCAGGCACGATCTCCTCTCTCTCTCTCTCTCTCTCTCTCTCTCCCGCAGCTCAATTTACATTGGCAATGCTTTTTCTCAAAGATGATGCGTGACAAATCAGTCGAAAACAATCGAAAACCATTCGTTACCGCGAACATGCGAATATGGAAATATGTTCACGAGTTCAGTAAATCTGCTTAAGCGTTTACGTTTTTCAGATGACATATTTATAGCGACATGTTTGGCGAGTCGGAGTTGTACGAAAATACAGAGTCGTAATAATCTCGATGTCTTCTGCGTAACGTCTCGCCGATATTCTCGAGATCGAATATGAGCAAGGATAACCAGTTAATCTGTCGGCGCACGAGACATCTTCCAGGGGGCTCTCTTGTTTCTCTTGGACGCCGTCTCTCTTTTACGTGTAATTGAGCCTCCCAGTCTCAGGTCGGGCTGGGATGATCTATTCCCTCGGAGGGGGAACCGCAAACGAAAACGAAGTATCATTGTAACGGGGGCCCGATCGATCCCTTTCTCTTTCGTTTTTATCCTCCTTTATTTTGCCTCATCTTTTATTCGTTCGGCGCGATCCAGCCAATCGCGGAAATCTCGAGGACTTTTACGATTATTCTCGGAATCGCCCGTACACAAGCGTCCTATGCAAATAAGATGGTGCCGTGGTTGCATAATGATATTGACAAAAGCTGGGAGGTTCTTTCGACTCTTTCTTTCGCTCGCAGCGACGCGTTATTATACGAGCGGTGCGTGGTGACTGCGTGAAATCGCGGCACTTCGCTTAAGCGACTTTTTTCAGAGGAACGCTTCAACATCTAAATGGAGATACTTTCGATTTCCATAGGAGCCAACGTGCGCTTGGCTCAAGATAAAGAAAAGAAAATCGTTAAGGCAGTCGCGTGCGTCCACGTGTTCTCGAGTTCTACGAGCAATTAATGACACCCTCGATTACGTACAGTCAGCTATTTCTATTAATCGATTTTTCTCTCTGTCCCACTCGTGCTATTTAAGTAGGAAAACTCAGTCGATAAATCCAGACATTAATGACACTGAGTGTACGACTCCGAACACGTGGCTCCGTCTTCATTCGTTTGTTATTAGAAATTGAACATGCAGCAATACAAAGTTCTTTCAACATACGATTCTTATTCATTCACATTGGAGTACATTCAAGTTTACCATTACTACACGAATTGGACAATCGCAGAACAGAGCAAAATTTACATCAAAATTCCTTCTGGTCCACATCTCGCTGCACCGTGCACACAGCCGCAACACTCGCAACATCCCCCGAGGCTTTGGTCGTCGTCGACTGGGCTGCTCTGCCACCCATTTGCCACCCATTTGCCACCCATTTGCCATCCATTCCCAACTGTTCTACGATTGACCATCCTCTTTCCTCTCTCAGATCCATTAGCCTCCTTCCTTCGGCATTTTGTCTTTTCTCTTTCGACTTCCATCCTCGTCCATCCTCGCTCGTCGTACGTTCCTCCTTTAGCCTCTATTATTGCCTTCCATTCCCCAATCGATCCTTCCGTCTCTTCTGTTAACCTCTATACTTCCTCTATGAGTCCCCGTACGATTAATGTCCTTTTCTGGGCCCCTTCTACAGTCTCACTCTCAGCCCTTTTTCGGTCTTCGTAATTTATACTTACCTCCCTGCTGTGCACTATACATAATCCTCTTTGCTTCTCTGTTCTCTCTGTGAATAAGTTTGGCCCCATCTAACGGTTCAAATTCCTTTTAAAAAGAGCCGCCAAGACAAAAGCTTTTTGGTGCAATACTCGAATGTCAGAGAGGGACCCTTCGTTGCGCCGCGGGGCGCCGACCACTGTCCAGTACCTGCGCGAACGTTTGGCTCCATAATTCCGTTAATTTTGCAAATTGTACAATGACATTTTATTAGTGTAATATTAAAGGGCAGTACAAACGAAATATATTATTTTTGTAAAATCGATTTATTCGACCCCACCAAAGCTGTATAACCCCTTAAGTGACTTTTGCAGAGGACCACTTCAACATCTAAATGGAGGTAATTTCGATTTCTATGGGAGCTACTGTGCGTTTAGGCGATGAAAAAAAAAGCATAAGTCAATGACACTCTGAATTATGTAGACCGACCGAAGACCTACTTGGAATTTTCGAAATTACCAGAACAATAGTGGCACCGGTCAGGATTATTTGCAATGTCCAGGAGTGACTTACCAGCAGAAGAGTGAGTACGGTTGTGAACAGGGGTGATCCCAAAACTTTGTCAGCCCTAGGAACCATTGTTGGCCAGCTGTGAGCTATCAGTTCTTATCGCGCACTTAAACGATTCAGTCCTGCGCGCAACGAGCACGCGTGTACCACGATAAATCGAATGAAATTAGGGAAAATTCGACAGGCAGCCTGAGCAGCTTTTTCTTCAACAGACACGCTCGCACGCACGACAAAGCGAATATCGGTTTACTGTTTGGCCGACTGGTCGCGCGTGGTACCGGTGTACCTCGTATATTGACACACTCCTAAGACACTCTTGGCGCATATTCATGAACGCAGACACGACCCGAGAATCTCCGTTCGCCCCCCGGCTTCCTCTTCCTCGTTCTCTTCAAGTGCTCCTTTTCGCGCCGCACCTGACGCTCAGGCACCCCGACGCCGAAGTTTGGTGCCCTGGTCCACGAGCGCCGATCGACTCCCGAAGGAATGGAGACTCTGGGAAAGCACAGGCGACCTTGGGCGAGCGAGGAAGGCGAGGAAGGCGAGGAAGGCGAGGAGGCTCCACCTGCTAGCTGCACGTTTCACGAGGAGTTGCACCTGATTGACCTGCAGTCAGCTGCCATTCGCGTTATTTATGCTAATGACATAGTGCGCCCCATAGTGGGGAACTGCGCTACTCGAGAGACTCGAAAGACTCGACAGTGGGGGGGGGGCGTGCGTGGTCAAGTAGCGCTTGATAGTATTTCCACGCATTGACTCGGCGAGTCGGGGAGGAGGGCGAGGGGGGAGGGAACGCGCGCGGTTGGCGGCGTCGCGAGAGCCATTTACTTAAGCCGCGTTTTTAAAGACAAACTCTTTACCTGCTAGACTTACTTGCTGCTGGTAAGGCAGCAAGTCAGCTACGCGCGATACCTGCAATCAAGTTACGACGGCAGCTCCTTGTTCAGCGCTACTCTGGACTCCGGAGACTCCGGAGACTCCGGTGACTATGATGCAAGAGCGAAGGGTCATTCGAAGAGCGATTCAGGACTGCCTGCGCGTCGTCCTCGATCTGATTTTACAGCCAATCGCACTGATCCCTTACCCATGTGTACTTAGGCTTCATTGGAAACAAAGAAAGCCACACGGACGTCACATGCGAGTGGGACGTAATTTGCACTTCCCTCCCCACCCCCCTGCGCCATCCACCTTCGTCCCCGGTTACACTTCCCGTCAGTCTTCGCGTCTCCCGTGACGTCATTTCCTCCGAGGAAGATAAGGTTAAGAAAATTGAAGCTTTCTTAAGAACATTCTAGAAGTCGGGACCGATGACGAATGCGCAATGACCATTTCCTGTTTCCGCTGGAAAATTATGTACCGGGTGGTCTGCTGCACGACGCACTGTATACGTATACAGTGCGCTGCACACAGGCGATCTGCCCGCAGGATATTGCGGAGAGCGTAATCGAATAAAAAATTTGGATGGCGTCCAGAGACAAAAGCAGCTGCTGAGGCATCTTGGCAAAGGCAAAGATGCCAGAAACTTCCCTGTCGCTGGTCGAGATCACTTTCTGATTTTGAAGGACCTTGGATCTGCTTGGATCTGCTTGGATCTGCTGGATCTGCTGCCGATACGGTCGGCTGGCGTGCTCGGAAATACCCAGGACGACCAAGCGCAGGGTGGATTCACGATGGCCACGACCAATTATTCATGCCTGCCGTGTATTTAATCGTACTTGGGTGTTTTTCAAGAACAGAACCTACCAAATTGGTTCTGCTTTGAGTTTCTTCTCTTCTTTCTTTACGATTTTCTCATTCTGAAAAACTCACTTAACACGTTTGGCACACCTAGCCTGACCTTCGGCATAAAATAGATTCAATCTGCAGAGGTTAAGATTCTTGAGGCCGAGTGCAATAAACTATTACGAAACGAAGGGATTCCCTCGGACGACGCAAGTCTTGAGCCTCGAGATCGTCGACCGTCGTTCCTACGAATCTCGCAGACGCTCCGGTCTTTCGGTTTTTCGCGTCGAACAATAAGAGACCTTTGACGGCAAGAGCTGTCGGAAACAGCATCGCTCCTCCTCCGTACTGTCCTTATTGTACTGGTATTGCGTAACATGACTCTCCTGACGCAATCGCTGAATTAAACCGCCCGAGACTCACAATTAAACGCATACAGGCAGTTCTTGACATGCCAGCCGGGATCCTTCGCTCTCTAGGAGGGATCAATCGGGACGGGAAGTCGGTCGGGATCGAAGGATGTTCAGCCGCTTTAAACGTAATTCCTCACAGCAAGCAGGTTCCCGGCACCGACGGTTTCCGATACCGTCACCTGTTGCGCCTGTTTTCTCATTCACTCCTCGTGCATCATTCGCACACGCTAATTCGAGCACAATGCCGGAGCACGTATAAATATCGAAAGTGATTAGCACCGAAATGACTTTTTAACGATCCACCGTAATTACTTACGTAAGCAGGTAAATTTATCGACGGAGACGGAGAAGGGAGCGGCAAATGGCTTCTTGCAGGAGAACTCATAATTCTGACCAAGTTAAAACCGACACGAAAGCTTTAGAGATAATTTCATAAAATTTCTGTTACATTTTAAATGAGGTCAATTTCATATCTCTCCTCAGTCGCGGCAAAATAATTAAAATCTTGAGGAAGTTACTGAGACCTGCAGTGGTTAACAGGACGGACATTGCGGCTTTCCGGCTTTCCGGCTTTTAATCAGGACACGTGCCGTTGCTAAGCAGAAATATATAATATAATAATCTTACTGGACGAATCAGGCTGCGAATTAAATTTACTCAGCTCGCACTCTGTTCGAGTGCGGCTACAAGTTCAGGTCGCCGAGTTTCTTAGGACACCGTCGGTATTGCAGAGTCGCCGTTTCGTCAAAGTTCTCGAATCGACGTAATCGCGTTGAAAAATCGTCGAGTGCTCGTTGGTATAGTTATCCACGGTTAATAATGTAGTTGTCGATCCCCAGCAGAGCGATTGGCACTCCAGGCACTGGATAACGAAACCTTTACAGGAGGCAGCGAGGTAAATACCGAACGTCGGTCGAGATTAAGTTAATAACTTATTTATCTGCCTATTCATGGGAAACCTAGTCGAGATTACCATTATGGTGATTCTTTTGTCTCCGGATAATGGGGATCCAGGATAACGAATGAATCTAGAACGAAATTGGATGCTTCACCGTTCGACCCGGTTTACCTCACTTCACTGAATAATATACTCGTTATCCAATACACAAATGGTCTGAAGTAGTCCCATCGAAACGATCAAGAAGGAAGTGTAACGACTGGAGGAGGCTTCCATTTTGGAATCCGATAACTAGCCTCCCATAATTCTAGGAAGAGTCCTTGCAATTGAAGCAGTCCTACCAATTCGCGACGGTATCACTGTAATTTCTCGGGGAGGATAAGTAATTCCTGTAATTATCGAATTGTGACTGTTAAAGGTGGACGTCTCCTCGTGCGCGTACGTGGACGTACGTGCGCGTCTCACATGTGGAAGGTAGCTGCACACGAGCAAATACTCGGGAAGACCGATAAAGAGACATGTCCTCTATCCATGCCGAACACTTTCTACTCTGGTTTCATCGAAAAAGATCATTTACGTAATTGGCTACTATGAAAATTCATTAAATGAGAATTATTGAATATTCGGCAAGCGTCCTGTCATCTACCGAAAAGAGAGAGTGGAGGAACGGCAGAGGTTGGAATGGCACAAGCCGATATTTTCGTTGGTTGCTTTTTCAGGAAAGGCAGTTGGGGAGACAGGAAGCGCAAAGACTATGATTTCCTAAATATAATTTTGGACGGCGCTCCTCGATACGAACAAGCAAGAAAGTAAACTGCACCTACTGCTAATCTTCTTGGTTTACGGAGAATGCGGTAATTCGTCCACCTATGGGTCGTCTGACTAGTCTATTACGTGGGAATAATTAATTCCAGGTTTGAGAGAAAGTGAGTCCCGTTCGGTTAGGAGATATTTCGGTCCGGCCCTTTCAATTAGCAATCCTAGAGCGGGAATTTTTTAATGAATCTTAGGCCAGAAGGATTTAATTGTATCATGGAAATGATTTTAGTGCGGTCCTTGTTCGATACAGACTGTATATATGTATACATATATCACATACGAAAGAGTGTATAATAATTCGATGATCGAATAATTAACCCTTAGCTGGATCCTTTGTCTGTGATAACATAGCTGACGAGTGGGGTCATTGAAGACCCCAAAGAAAATTTAGTTATAAAATCAACTGTTTTTAATATTTTGGCTTGAAATTTTTTTTGGTTATTTCTTAACACATATTTTTTAAGATAAAACCTTCTGTAGATCGAGTTTTTTTTAAAGATTTAAAAAATCCTTCAAAATTTTAAAGATCCTGAATGTACGAGAATCGCGATTGAAAAATAGCTGAGTCAAATTGACCCCATGGATCCAGCCAAGGGTTAAGATAGCATTGGTATACATAGGATCCATTATTCAGTAGATCCGCAACAATTTCACCAGTTCACTTTCATCAGCGCGACTATTCGCGAATCCCAATGAAATTTAGCAGAATGTCTCGACCCTGCAAATTAAGCAGCAGCGATGCACTTACTTTTCCAGCCGTCGACTTGCATCGAGACGCCATGCGTTTCCAAGACGCACGGGGAGTTTTGATGGCGAAAACAAATAACGGCATATCGTGCCATTGATTCTTAGTTCTTTCGGGGTCTTTTATTCGAAAAATAAGGAAAACAAGCAACCTTCTCAACTTTCCGTAAATTCGCTCTCCGTTCTGTTTTTTCCATTTTTTGCAAATTGAATTTCACTTTCCATGGAGCGAGAGACGCGAGGAGGGAACCAGGCTCGATAAAAAGATAATGAGGTACTATATTAAGTAAGAACGTAGAAGCGACGTGCGCCAAATGCATCGCGACGGCACGTATTCATTTTCAGTGACGAAGGCCGAACGTCCCTTCACCCAACTCGTTTCCAGGCAAAACTCTATTTCGAGCGCTTGGCCGAATAATGGTTTGTATTAAAAAATAAAAAACGGCTAATCGAGTCTCGGTATTAACGCGTTATTGCTTGTCAATTTTCCAAAGTAGAGAAATCTACTATCCCCTTAAACTCTAATACTTTGCATAACGTTATGAAGTCGTGAGGGAGCCGTGCCGATTGGCTGCTGTGCGCCAATAATTAGGACATATTCCGAAAACGCCGGAATCACGTCTCTGCGCTCGAACTGCCAATGGATCTTGAGATGAGTTCCTGAGCCACCGAAATTGAAATTTTCAAGAACACTGAATCCTGCCAATAAGCATTCCGTCCTTTTATTTTCGCAACTTTTTAAATAAAATTGTGGAATATGCATACTGTTTACAATAAAATTTGATTTTGAAGTATTAGGTTCCTATCATTTACTTTCTTAATCTGAAAGAATCTCCCAAGTGTCACAACTCCCGGTGTAAGTACGGTCGATTTTCTAGAAATCAATAAAAACGGAGATAAAATAGCTGTCCTTTATGATGGATCCCTATTTTTTAAACTTTCCCAGGCAAACCGATAATTTAAATTTCAATTTGCCTGGCTCATCCAAGCGTAGCCCATGTCATTCCACAGGAAATACTTCATTGCGGCTAGTTCCTTGCCAACTGCCTACGTAATTCGCACCCTATAATATAAGGTATGGTAACCAAAAAAGAAATTTATAATACAATACTCTTTATTTCGTCCGTTGCGAGCCTCACCTCCTTCCATTTACATGGATACCTCGCGTAGTTACAAGGACCCACTGATCTACGTTCGATAACTCTGCGCTCGCAAAGGATAAGCGATAGTGTTTTTGCGATAGAAAGGACAAAAAAATGCTTTAAAAAAGACAACGAGAGGGAACGATTTTCGATAGCTCCATAAAGGCCATCCTGTTAAAATCAAAGCTGATGAAGCGTGTCCGGAAATTTCGGCAGAGAAGGAAGAGGGTGTACCAAGTGGCAACTGGCAACCTCACGGTGGGAGAGAGTATATAGAGAGGAAATGGGTGAAGGCGCTGGTCAGTGAGTTCAGTGAGAGTGCCGTGTGCTTCCTCCGGTCTAGCGCGAAATTCACAATGCAGGTACGAAATACAAGGTAGTGAGGCTGATTAAAGAAGATGGGTCGGATTCAGGAGGACAGTGAAAGTGCTTTAAAAATGCATGTCTCGTTATCGTGGGAATCCTTTGAATTTTTAAAAATCAAACCTTTCTTGCGACCGTCAGGACCGATCGCATCTCCACGCACGAGGCGTAATCTTTGGAAGTGAAGGTCCCGGCAGAGCACAAGTTCATCCACGTGAAAGTTTTAAAAGAAAGCTCAGGCTGGACGCTCCTATCCTTTTTACGCATACTCAGCCCTGTGTGACAGGTCTTCCTAGTTTGGTTTTTGTCTTTGAAAATTGAGACGAAGAGAGAGAGAGAGAGAGAGAGAGAGAGAGAGAGAGAGAAAAGGTGCTGAGGATGTTTCGAAGGCGCAAACTCGATGGAATTGGAAAGAATCTGGGTCGAGTCTGAGCGACTCCGGGTACAAGATCAAGGACACACCTTTTACCTCGGGCCACGATCACTTTCGTTCAGGAGGACTTTGTCCTTTGCCAGACTCCGGAGGTTTCATCGCGGTCTTTGAACCCGATGAATTTCTCGCGAATCCCCCGAATCCCCCGAATCCTCGTAGGAGAAGGTGAAGCGATCGGCATCGGTTCTTCGGGCCTCGCGTCACGCCGTCTCAAATTCACTCGACCGATAACACACGATTCTTCTTTTTCTTTCTCGTGGACAATGCGACAGGCCAAACGACGATTCTTTCCACGAGGCTTCATTATTTTACGACACTTGGCGAATCGCGTGTGGGCGTCAGTGTCGAGTGCGCGTACATGTTGCTTGCTGTTGCTGTCCATCCTGCCTTGCTTTCACCAGAGTCGCTCCACTTGCTGCAAGGCGACACACGAGCCTACCCGCGCTGCTCTGCACTTCAGTGCCTTCCGAGTTGCCGGAAATTGGCCAAAGTCCTTGCTTTCTGGCCGGCATCGAAAACAAGAGATAATTACCGAGTCGCTCGATTCTATAGAAAGTAATGACACCCGCACGCTGATGTCTGATTCCCCTCGAGCCTCGGATCTATTAGACAAGGACGAACGTGCACAAAATGTTAATATGAAATTACGTGTCGCGTGGTCGTGACCCGGTTCATGCGTTTCATTATGCCTTCGCGCCTTTGGACTCGATGCTTCGTCCGTTCGATGTAACTGACTCGATTAATTTAGGTTCCTTCTTTCCCTGTAAATTCTGCCCTCCCGCTTTCACAGGAAAAATGAGCTCAGTCAGAACGCTTCGATCTATTGACAGATCCAATGTTTTATTCGATAGTATATAGCGCGAAGCCCATTCGACCTAATGCGTTTTGCCAGTTAAGACGTTTTGCACGTGGATCACACGTGCACCCTCCGGTCGCAATGCTCGCCCGATCACGATGGAAAGAGGTTGACAATTTAATCGTGATGGATTTCGATTTCAGCTGTTGGCGCTCCTGATGATATCATGCTGCGCGATGACACAGTCCGCCTCCCTTCAGGGTCCTTCCAATCCAAAAGTCAGTCAAGCTCAAGAAGCAGAGATACTGGAGAAGGCCGCAGCACAGCTTCAAAGGTTGGCTCCCTTCAAAAGGTCGACCGATCCCGAGGTGGACCATCAAGCCTATTTCCCATTCTCACCGGAAGAACTGCAGACGGAATTCGAAAGAACGAAACGGTCGCACGAGTCTCAAACGTCCCTCGATCCTCTGAACGATGCGGAACTCGAACTCCTCGATCAGGAAAGGATAAAGAGATCCGGCGGTTTCCTATCGGGAATCGCAAATACAATTCTTAGCAAATTGGCCAGCGCTTCTGCAGGCGCCTCCAGTGGAGTCGCAGGCGCCAGCAGCGCGTCCAGCGGGAAGAGTCATCCAGTCGAGATCGTCGAATACGGACCGCCGGTTCAATCCGTAAGTTCTTTTTCTTTAATCCTGGCTTGACTTTTACGTGACTCTTACGTTTTACGAAAAAAACGTTGTACATAGAGGGACTTGTGTTATAACGTTTATCCATGGGAATCTAGGTCTTGTGAATTTCTATTAAGGAGGGAAACCCAATCTACTTTTTCTCGATTATTTATCTTAGGTTCTTCTGGTTCGCCACAAGACGTCCCGCGACAGCCTCCACATCTCGTCCAACCGGTCTATCTTAGATCCTAGATCCTCGATCATTAATCCCATACAAGAGATTTGGTCCAACCGATAACACGAACGTGGAACTAAATTACGTAAAAAGAAATAAAAAATGTGTTCCGCAGTACGATGACAAGTCCTTCGATGTGTGGGCGTTCAAGAAGGCGATTCTCAACACGCTTTTCCAAGCGCTTAAAGCCATAAGCGGCGGCGCGATCGCCCTTAAGGGTCAACTGATCAAAGGGGGTGGTCACCTTATCTCTGCCAAAGGCAGAATAATCAGCGCCAAGGGGGAGGCCATATCGTCCCTTGGCCGTCACATAGCGAGCAGTGCTCTCTTGACTCCGCCAAAGAGCAGCCATTCCCATCCTGACTACACCTACGGCTCCCCGGCCGTCATTAGCGGTGAGTAATTTCAATTGATCCATTTTTCTACCGGCAGAATAATTAAAAAGTCTTTCTGGTCGCCCGCAATCTGATCGGTCTGATCGTTAACAGGTCACGACGTCAGCTACGACGGTCCACCTCCCAGTGCTCACGGATACTCATCTTCCGGACCATCAGCATCCGCCTACGCCTCACCTTCGGACGGTACGTCAGTGCCTTGATCACTTGCATTGTCTTACTTGGTTATTCTTTGAAAACTCTCCCAACGCTCGGTGACTATCGGCCCAAACAGCGCGGAAGGATCAAATCCGCCAGAGGAGGCTGCATGTCGTCTGGAAACATGAATATCTCGCTTATACTCGAAGATCAACCTAGCGTGACTGTAACTTTCGTCGTTCCTGAACTTGAACTCTCAGTTGCCGTCTCAGTTGGCTCAGGGGCCCCAACCGAAATTTGAAAGTCCCAGTCAATTGCCTTTTTCCTTTACTGTCCACACCAAGTCCAAATTTCTTGCTCTCTTGAGTATCGTTTTGCCTATCCACGTCATTGGAAGTTCCTCCTTTAAGAAAGTATTGAAAATCGCGTACGGTACGCGTTGCTCATTGAAAAAAAAAAAAATGATAAGAGCCCAGCTAGAAGAACCGGACTTTCGAGAGCAATAAAAAAGAATGTAATTTTTTAGCAAAAATAATTTTTCCTAAAAGACGTATATTTCACACGGAAAGTTCAAAGATCAACGAATTCGTGTTAATCGCGAAGTTTTTGCCTCTCGGAACCACCGACCGGCATTTCGTTTCGATGCGCATCTGAACTTTCTACTAAACATTCTCCGTCCAATCGATGACTGCTCTCTCCATCTCTTTCACCGCCTCGTACTCTCGCGCTTCGTGTCTCTCTAAACAAAATATAAAAGTGAAACATCATCGAAACGAGTTCTCGACGACGGGCGAGCCGATACGCATGCGCGAACGTCGCGTCGCATTATAATTTTTCCACTCAAACTGATTCCGAACAGCATACTTGCTACGAGTAATACACTTTGCCTCTCTGTGCGAAACCACATATGCACACGCACCTATGATTAAGAACTTCTCGAAGATGCCGGCCGGAAGTAAGTTTCCATAGCCGCGCGTGTAACCAACGCGTGTCTTCGTTTTTCGAGTTGATGGAACTGCGAAGGACATTGAGGGGCATAGTTCGAGTGACTCCCGCTCGCCGCGGGGACTCCGGCTCCACTGTTCCACTTTCGTATCTTCCGACGGCAACCTGTGCCCACGTGAAATCGCAACGTGCATCTCGGAATGAAGAATCGAAAGTTTCTCGACGCTACGAGCAGCCGAGATTCGAGAAGGAACTGTAATATTTAGCCGCGTATTAAATTTCGCTGGAATCTTCGAATTAGCCGATCCTCCCTTTGTCTTCATTCGCTTTCTGCACAGCTGAATCGCCTTAAGCGTTAATTTACTCGTCCCGCTGAATTACGGGCTCGCTTAGAATTAATTTAAACCGGGCAACACAAAAATGCCCGCTGCAGCAGCTAACTGACCGACAGACGTTACGTTTACAGACGATGCTCATGCGGGCCTACTGATCCTGAAACCGATCAAACCGGAGCACAATCACGACGAAGACCATTCTCATCAAGACCATCATCAACTGGACTTGGACCCACGACATCCCAGCTTGGCCGCCCTCGAGGAGAGTTTCGGTGGCTCCCCGAAGGGGAGCAATTCCGCGACCTCCTCTAGCTCCCAAGGACACTCTTATCATCTAGATGACGGTTACTATAAGGAGCACAAGGACGAGCACCAATACGAGCCAGCGACGAGCTACGGACTGCCTGATCACTCGACGTTAAACAAATACGAGGGCGAGAAGCTTCAGGACGCAAATCACGAGCATTCGAACATCCAGGATCATCAAGTGGATCAAGTGGAACCTCAGAAGATTCAGTCCCTCGCCTCCCCCTTCGGTTCGCCCTCCCACGAATATCAACGACCCAACAGTCAACCGTCGCTAAGTAGCCATTCGAATTCCATTCAACAGATACAGTCGCTCCTCGAGACGCCCAACTCCCACCTGAATCCCTACGAGTTGCCAAAAATTCAGTCCTTTAACAACTTCAATGCTCTGCCGTTTTCCGCTATTCAATTGGACGAACCTCTAAAGATCCCGATCATCCCCGCGGCAAACAGTTGGTACGGAGAAAACGTTCCAAACAATTTTCCCTCGAATTTCGGGCAGCCCTCGAAGATCCCTCTAGTTTCTCAACAGTCCTTTGTAAACGGTTACGGAGCATTCAGGCGTCAAAGTGCTGTCGAAATACAACCCTCCATTGGCTTCGCTTTCAAGGATACCAAGATTCACAGGATATAGACTGATTCCCATCTGGACTCTGACAATGAGTCATCGGCCCAAGGTAAATCGCATTTCTTTTACCACTAGGAAATTTCCTAAACGAATGCGATTGACCTCTGTCTCTTTGCCATCAAGAACTCCACTTGACCAATTGACACAAGGTCAACGTATTGCATTACCTCCTTGCAACTCTGTCGCAATGCGGTCATGCGGTAATTTGGTGAAATTTTCATATTACCGCGCAAAACTTTCTTCCCAATGAGAAAGCAGATCTCAGACCCGCCCCCCCCCC